CCCCAACCCTCGTCCCGGTGCCACAGCCCTCGGGGACGTCCCCCGCCCCAGCCCCGTCCACTGCAGGTGGTCGCTGTCTGGGCACGCGTCTGTCTCTCTCACCGGACGTTAAACTCCGGGAGGACAGCTGTCACTGCTGTGTCACTCGCACCAGTTGCCCCGAACAGCGCCGGGAACAGAGCAGCCTTGGGGAACAGGTGCGGGATCGATGAGTGAGTGGGGAAACTGAGGCCAGGTCAATGGCGGAGTTGGGATTCAAACCCGTATTGAAAGGAAGGACCAGGTTTGGGCTCCTGCCATCTCTTCTCCACTGAGCCCTGCCCAGGGCTGGGAACACAGAGGCGCTCAAGAAAGGGAATCGGAACCGGACCAGAGAGGTTAGGGAGCCAGAAACTCTCCCGCCCACGCCTCTCTGCTCCCCAGACCGTCGCGGTCCTCCAGGACCATAGAGAGTTGCGCAGGGATCGCCCCCGCTCTGTGCTCTACGCCCCTGGGGAGAGGTGAGGGCGGGCCCGAGGGCCAGAGAGGCCGGAAGTGCGGCGAGCCCAGGGCCGCGCTGGCCGCGCTGGAGGTGGGATGACTCGATCCCCCCTCCGGTCTTTTCCTCGCGGCTCGGGTACAAGCAAGTGATTCCTCGCGGTGCTGAGACCCAGGTCGGGGCGAGAAGGGCGGGAGGTGGAGACTGCGGGTGGTGATTGGCAGCCGCGGAAGCCAATCATTGCAGAACCTGAGATAGGAGCCGGCGTGGGGAGGGCGGCCGGGGCCAGACCCCGGAGCCGCGCGAACTGGAGGCGGGGAGCGGTTGGGGCGGAGCGAGTGGAACCCGAAAGGGCGAGGGGCGGGGCGAAAGAGCGTGAGGACAAGTAAGGGGCGGGGCGGGGCGAGCCGGGGGCGGAGCATCCATGGGGCGCTGGGTGTGGGTCTTGTCACATGGAGACCTGGGCTTGTTTTGGGGAGATGACTGGGAGTGGGGGTTCCTGCTGGGGGCGATGGGAGGGCACTCGCCCCTGAGGCCACGTCTTCCCTCTCAGGTTCCAGATGGACCCTGGGAAGGACGCGGAGGGGGTGCCGCAGCCCGCAGGGCCGCCAACAAGGAAGAAATTTGTCATACCGCTGGACGAGGATGAGGTCCCTCCTGCAGGGGTAGGACCAGGAGATGGGGAGGCCAGTGGGAGGAAGGAGATAGGAAGGGGCTTGTGGGGCCACCGTGTGGGTTAGGGGATGTCGGGGCCAGGGTCAACTCGGGAGAACAGCCCTTTGTCCTTCTACAGGTCTCAGTTTCCCCATCTGTAAAATGACGGGGTGGTTCTAAGAGAAGGCTAAGCCAGAGGCCGCAAACTGATGGCCAGTGGGTGGCCCAGAGACGTGTTTGTGTGGCCAGCATCCTGATTTTTCAAGACATGGTTTTGCTGCCGACGTTTAAGAATTGGAAAGTTAGCCGGGCGTGGTGGCTCACGCGTGTAATCCCAGCACTTTGAGAGGCAGAGGCGAGAGGATTGCCTGAGCCCACGGGTTCGAGACCAGCCTGGGCACCACGGTGAGACCTCGTCTCTACAATAAATGAAAAAATTAGCCAGGCGTGGTGGCGCACGCCTGTGGTTCCAGCTCCTTGGAAGGCTGAGGTGGAAGGATCGTATAAGCCCGGCAGGTCGAGGCTGCGGTGGCTGTGAGCATGCCACTGCACTCCAGCCTGTGCGACAGAGTGAGACTCATACTAAAAAAAAAAAAAAGAAAAAAAGAATTGGAAAGTTTTGCAATTTACAAAAGCAGTCTGCACTTTGACATGTTTTGGTAAATGGAAGGATCTGGCAACACAAATTCTCCTTCCCACAGCCCAACAATGGACTGGTACTGAGTACTGGCTGCCTCCTGTGTGCTGCGAAAAAAAATAAAGTGGGTTTAGGCTGCAGGGTGTGATGAGGGAGAGGACCTACCTTACTTAGGTCAAAAAAGACCTCTCTGAGGTGGTGACATCTTGGCAGAGAGGTGAAAGAGGTGAGGGAGTGAGCCATGCAGACATCTGAAGGGAGAGGGAACAGCCAGGGCAAAGGCCCTGGGGTCAGAGAGAAACTGACAAGTTTGAAAACAGCAAGTAGGCCAGGGGACAGGAGGAGAGACAGAGGGAAGTGGTAGGAGGTGTGGTCCCCTAGGGAAAGGGCAGGATCTAGTGCCTCATGAGCAGTGGTGACAGCTTTGGTGATTACTCTGAGGCAGAAGCTACCCAAGGGCTCTGAGCAGAGGAGGGACTTTTTGTAGGAAACAGACTGTGAGGGGGCGAGGCTGTAGGCAGAGAACTGGTGGAGAGTTGACTTCAGTGGCCCGGGGCGAGCCGATACTGGCTGGGACCAGGGCAGGAGCTGGGAGAAGTGGCTAGATAAAAACTTTGAGTCCCCAGTCCTTAGGGCATTGCCTCTGGAAGGGACACTGGGAGGAAGGAGGGTGGGCCACCCCTGCAGATCGGGGAGGGACTCACAGGGGCTCACACGTTCCCTCCCCGGCCCCCTTCAAACCCCCTTTCTCTCCACAGGCCAAGCCCTTGTTCAAATCCACACAGAGACTTCCCACCGTGGACACCTCTGCCCAGGCAGCGCCTCAGACCTACGCCGAGTATACCATCTCACGGCCTCCAGGAGGGGCGGGAGCCACGTGCCCCACGGGGTCAGAGCCCCTGGCAGGAGAGACCCCCAACCAGGCCCCAAAACTGGGGGCAAAGTCCAACAGCATCATCGTGAGCCCCCGGCAGGTAAGGAAGGAGACCGAGAGGTGGAGCTTTAGGGTTCTGGTGGGGAAACGCTGTTCCAGGGATGACCCTGCTGGGCATTGCAGGGAGGTCCGAGTTCTAGGCAGTGCCATTCATTTATTCATTTATCCAGTCAACAACTCTGTGCCCCGGCTGTTGTTGCTGAGGCCCCGACTGTGTTTGTACAGCTGTGTTTCCTGATCCCAGATTTGTTTTTATTCAAAATGTACTGAATGACCTTGAGCCTAAGCAGAATCCCTGCTCTGCCACTCGGTAGCTGTGTGCTCTCAGGCAAGTGACTTAACCCATCTGTGCTTTTAAATGGGGATTCATTTGCTTATTTAGTTCATACATATGTACAGAGAGTGTCACACGCTGTTCCAGGCTCTGGTGGAAAGAAAACAGATAAAGTCTCTGCCCCTGATAGAGCTAGGGCAGGGATAGACAAAGACAGCAGTAGGGCCCAGGTTCCAGGCATCAGCCGTTAGAGAAATGTTCTGGAGACACCACTTTGCACTCACCAGCGAGGCTACAATCTAAAAAGATGGGCCAGGCACGATGGTTCATGGTTTATAATCTCAGCGCTTTGGGAGGCTGAGGCAGGAGGATCTCTTGAGCCCAGGAGTTTGAGACCAGCCTGGGCAACACAGCAAGACCTCGTCTCTACAAAAAACAAAAAATTTAGTCAGGCATGACGATGTGCACCTATTGTCCCAGCTACTCGGGAGGCTGAGGCAGGAGGATCACTTGAGCCAGGAAACTGAGGCTGCAGTGAGCTATGATGGTACCACTGCACTCCAGCCTGGGCGACAGAGTGAGACCCTGTTTCAAACAAAAGAAGGAAAAACAAAAAGGCCAGACCTGTAATCCCAACACTTTGGAGGGCGGAGGCAAGATGATTGCCTGGTCCCAGGGGTTTGTGACCAGCCTGGGCAACTTGGCAAGACCTCGTCACTACAATAAATCAAAAAATTAGCCAGGTATGGTAGTGTGCACCTATAGTTCCAGCTACTTGGAAGGCTGAGGCGGAAGAATTGCCTGAGCCCAGAGGGTCGAGGCTGTGGTGGCCGTGGATTATAGACGTAAGCCACCACACCCAGCCTGTTTCCAACTTTTTTGGATACATACCTAGGAGTGAATTTTCTGGGTTATATGGTAACTCTGTATTTAATTTTTTCAGGAACTCCTTAACTTTTTTCCCAAATGCTTCATCATTTTATATTCTACCAGCAGTTTACAAAGGTTCCAAAATCTCCATACCCTTACCACTTGTCATTGTCTGTCTTTTTGTGTTTTATTTATTTGAGTTGGAGTCTCACTCTGTCACCCAGGCTGGAGTGCAATGGCACACTCCCAGCCTGCACAGCCTCAACCTGCTGGGCTCAGGCGATCCTTCTGCCTCAGCCTTCCTAGTAGCTGGAACTACAGGCATGCGCCACCATGCCTGATTGATTTTTTGATTTATTATAGAGATGATGTCTCACCAAGTTGCCCAGGCTAGTCTCAAACCCACGGGCCCAGGCAATCCTCTCACCCCACCTTGGTTTCCCAAAGTGCTGGGTTTATAGGTGTGAGCCACCGTGCCTGGCCTACTTTTATTTTTATTTATTTATTTATTTATTTAAGTTGGAGTCTCACTCTGTCGCCCAGGCTGGAGTGCAGTGGCATGTCAATGCAGTGGCAGGTCAAGGTTGCGGTAGCCATGGTCATGCCACTGTACTCCAGCCTAGATGACAGAGTGAGACCCTGGCTAAGAAAAAAAGTTGGCACATAATAAAGGATACAGGTAGAAGGTGTACACAGAGCAGGGCACGTGGTAAGGGGCGCAGAGCTACCCTTTAGAGACCAGACATGTTCAGCTGTCCGGCTGTCCTCCATTATTACAGAGGCTTCATTTTGTAGACATGATTATGTCATCTGCCACTGGTGACTGATGAACTCAACCATCAGCGCCTTTCCCTTCCCCAGAGGTCAGGGGAGGGGCTGGAAGTTCCGAACCTGTAATCACAGGTTGGTTCCCCTGGCAACCAGCCCCCATGCTGAGGCTTTCCAAGAACCAGCCCCCAAGAGTCACCTCAAGAGAACACAAGATGCTCTTATCACTGGGGAAATTCCAAAGGATTCAGGGGCTCTGTCTCAGACGTTTATCACTCAGGAAATTACAAAGGTCTTAGGTGCTCTGTGTGAGGAACCAGGGTCAAAGAACAAATATTCGAACAAGAGATTCTTCTGGGCAGGGTACGGTGGCTCACATCTATAATCCCAGCACTTTGGGAGGCCAAGGTGAGAGGATTACCTGAGCCACGGGTTCACAACCAGCCTGGGCAACTTGGCGAGACCTCATCTCTACAATAAATCAAGAAGTAGCCAGGCGTGGTGGCGCGTGCCTGTAGTTCCAGCTACTTGGAAGGCTGAGATGGAAGGATTGTCTGAGCTCGGCATGTTGAGGCTGCAGTGGCCGTGAGTGTGCCACTGTACTCTAGCCTGGGTGACAAGAGGGAGACTCCGACTCAAAAATAACTAAATAAATAAAGGAAGGGCCCTCTGCCTGCCATGTGCCTGATGGGCAGGAGGCCAGGAAGAAGTGGGTGGGCCTTGGGCAGGGGAAGAGAGATTCAAAAGAGATGTTAAGAAGGTAGATGCTGAGGTCACTGTGGACTCTGAAGGGGACGTCTGGGGGGAGGCGTCCAGGACCACAAGACACACAGATTAGGGTGGAGCAGGGCCAGGCTGAGACAGACCTGGGGACCCTTTAGAAAAGGTCTGGCAGCCAGGTGCGGTGACTCACACCTGTAATCCTGTAAGCACTTTGGGAGGTAGAGGCGAGAGGATTGCCTGAGCTCATGGGTTTGAGACCATCCTGGGCAACTTGGCGAGACTTCGTCTCTACAGTCAATCAAAAAAATTAGCTAGGCATGGTGGTGCATACCTGTGGTTCCAGCTACTTGGAAAGACTGGGGCAGAAGGATGGCCTGAGGCTAGCAGGTCGAGGCTGCGGTGGCTGTGAGCATGCCACTGCCCTCCAGCCTGGGCGACAGAGTGTGACTCCAACTCAAACAAACAAACAAAAAGGTCTGGTGCTGAGGAGGGCCCTGGGTCAGAGCACCAGGGACCTTCCAGGCTGGGGCCTTTGGGGGGAGGAGGAGAGAGAATCTGGAAGAGACCCAGGTGGGAGGAGGGAGGAAGACGGGAGGTGTTCGGAAAAGGTTGAGGAGGGTTCCTACGATGACCAGGGACATCGTCCCTGTTGATGGCTCCACCCTCCTTCCTCCCCAGAGGGGCAACCCCGTGCTAAAGTTCGTGCGCAATGTGCCCTGGGAATTTGGCGACGTAATCCCCGACTACGTGCTGGGCCAGAGCACCTGTGCCCTCTTCCTCAGGTGAGCTCAGGATGCTACCCCACCCTTCAGGAAGGGCACCCCAAGAAGCCTAGGGGGCCGTGATCCAGTGTTCTGGGCTAGTCCATGGGAAACCTCTGGGCATGGCCCTGCTGGCTCTGGGCCTTGGTGCGTCATGGCCTGGAGGTGCCCAGAGCAGCAAGAGCGGGGAGCCAGGACTCCTGGGTCTGAGGGAGGGGGGCTGGGCCTCAGATTCCTAGGTTTGAGGGAGGAGGAGCTGAGGGCCTGAATGCTGGGTCCGAGGAAGGAGGGGCTGGGTCACTCATGTCCCAGGCATCCCTGACTGGAGTTGAAAAAAGCCAGGATTCCTCCAGCCTCCACCCCGGGGGCCCCTCTGCAGGCAGGGGAAGTGAAACTTGTGAGTTCCTCTCCTGCCTGTAGGCTGCCAGTGCAGAGATGGTCCCAGTTCCCTGGGGTAGGTTCCCATGCCTGCCAGCGCCCTCTGAGGCCAGAGCAGATGGCGGGGTGGGCCCTGCTTCCCCCACCCGCTATACAGTGTCCCCAGGGCCACGCTCTCAGGGCCCCGGTTCCTGATTTCTCCTAAAGCCCAGGTCTCTCCTCGTGGAGAAGCCTGCGTCCCCGTCTCTGGGAACCACGGCCAGGCAGCCCTCCAGTCCTTCCTGTGCATTATCTAGAGTGACCCTGGGCAAGTCACTTCACCTCTCTGGGCTTCAGGTCCTGTCCTCCGTGCTGTGCTCGTGGCTGCTGGCGTCCCCGCCCCGCCCTGCTTCCCAGTGACCGCACAGAAGGGCATCCAGGGTCTCAAGGAGACTGAGACCCCCAAGCCCTCTCTCCCCTGCCCCTCTAGCCTCCGTTACCACAACCTGCACCCAGACTACATTCATGAGCGGCTGCAGAACCTGGGGAAGAACTTCGCCCTGCGGGTCCTGCTCGTCCAGGTGGACGTGGTAAGCAGGGCCGTTCCTCTGCCGGCCTCACCATCACCGTCTGTGAAATGGGCAGTGTTGGACCTCAGGGTTGCGTGTCGGACTGTTGAATCCCTTCCCAGAGGAAATGCCGGTTGAAACTTCAGAGAGGAAGCATCCTTCACATTTGAGGTTGACATGGGTCACCAAGACACCCTGTGTTGGCCTGGAGTGGGGAAGTACAATGATGTCTCCTCCTTCCTCACGCCTCCTCCGACTAGCCCTAGCCCTGTTGAATCTGTTCCGTTCTGTCTCCACAGTCCCTGCCCCATCTGGGCAGCCTCCTTCCTGGTCTCATGACTTCTAGTCTTAACCCCCAACCTCTTACCGCAAAGGGGTCTTTTTTGTTTTGAAGTTGGGTCTCACTCTGTTGTCCAGGCTGGAGTGTAGTGGGATGATCACAGCTCACCACAACCTCGACTTCCTGGGCTCCGGCGATTCTTCCGCCTCAGCTTCCCAAGTAGCTGGGACTACAAGCACGCGCCACCACACCCAGCTAATTTTTTGATTTTTTTCTAGAGATGGGGTCTTGCTACATTGCCCATGCTGGTCTTGAACTCCTGGGCTCAGGCAGTCCTCCCGCCTCCACCTCCCAAAGTGCTGGGATTACAGGCATGAACCATTGCGCCTGGCCCTAAGGGATCTTTCTGAAGCACAGATCTGATGTGACCCTCCCCTAGGCAGAACCCTCCCATGGCTCCCCAGTACCCTAGGAGAATGCTCTGCCCCACTCCGTGGCCTGCAAAGCCCTTTGTGACCCAAGCTCCTCCCAGCTCTGCTGGCTCATCTCTGAGATCCCATGCGATCACACTTCATGTTCCACACTCAACCCCACGCTGAGTGAACTGAAGTTCCTGGAGCCCCTTTCCCCCGCTTCTTGGCACACGCTGTTCTGTGTGTCTGGAATTCCCTTTTCTGTTCCTCTGTGCTTCCTTCAGACCTCCTCATTCTCCATCAGGTCCCAGCTCAGATGGCCCCCGCTCCAAGAAGTCCTCCCCAATCCCCCAGGCAGACTCAGGCCCTCCTCTGACTCCCCCATCCCAGTCCTGGCCGCTCCAGCTCATCACCCTCTGGGAACAGGTCTGCCCCCCCATCAGAGCATGAGCCCCAGGAGGCAGAGCCAGGCCCGTTTCCACCCCTGCTGGGTCCTGGCACTGCCCAGCACGGACACCCAGTGGGGGCTTGGTCAGCTGAGTGGAAGGCTCTTGGCCTCCTAAGCGGTTGTGTTTTCAGACCATGATCCCTCTCTTCCAGGTGTCTAACTCTGATTTTCTTGTCCTCCAGAAAGATCCCCAGCAGGCCCTCAAGCAGCTGGCCAAGATGTGTATCCTGGCTGACTGCACACTGGTCCTGGCCTGGAGGTGAGAGGGTGCTTCCTCCTTGCCCAGTTCAGGCTCCATCCTGAGATTATTCCCTGCCCCCATCCGACCCTGCACAGCCCTGCCCTTCTTCTTCTAGGAGCTCCCCTGTGTGAGTCTGGTCCAGGCACTGACACTCTCTGGGCCTGTTTCCTCGTCTGTAAAAATGGGGTCTTCATAGCTTTCTTGTAGGGCCAAAGGCACAGAAGCAGGTGATGTAGGTCAGATTTTCAGGACCTGCACTCCAGCCTGGGAACAGAGTGAGATGATGCTCTTAAAAAAAAAAAAAAAAAAGCCGGGAGTGGTGGCTCACGCCTATAATCCCAGTACTTTGAGAGGCAGAGGGGAGAGGATTGCCTGAGCCCACGGGTTCGAGACCAGCCTGGGCAACTTGGCAAGACCACGTCTCTACAATAAATAAATTTTTAAAAATTAGCTGGGCATGGTGGCATGTGCCTGTAGTTCTAGCCACTTGGAAGGCTGAGGTGGAAGGATCACCTGAGCCCAGTAGGTCGAGGCTGCGGTGGCCATGAGTGTGTCACTGCATTCCAGCTTGGGCGACAGTAAGACTCTGACTCAAAAATAAAAAAAGAGGGCAGATTCTACAGGCATAATTCACTGTACCTGGCCCTTAAAAAAAAAAAATTAGTGGGGCATGGTGGCACATGCTTGTGGTTCTGGAAGGCTGAGGTGCAAGGATCACCTGAGCCCAGTAGGCCAAAGCTGCAGTGACTGTAAGCAAGCCACTGCATTCCAGCCTGGGCCTCAGAGTGAGATTCTGACTCAAAAAAAAAAAAAAAAAAAGGCCAGGTGTGGTCACTCATGCCTGTAATCCCAGGACTTTGGGAGGCTGAGGTGGGAGGATCGCTTGAGCCCAGGAATTACAGACCAGCCTGGGAAAACTGGCAAGACCTTGTCTCTACAATAAATCAAAAAATTAACTGGGTATTGTGGTACCTGTAGTCGCAGCTAAGGCTGAGGTGGGAGGATCGCCCAAGCCCAGAAGGTCGAGACTGAAGTGAGCCGTGATTGTGCCACTGTACTCTAACCTGGGTGACAGAATGAGGCCCTGACTCAAAATGAATAAATTAATAAAATAAAATAAAAATTTAAACATCTGGATGTTAAGAGATAACGTAAACAAAGTTAAAAGACAGGTGACAGGAGGCTGGGCATGGTGGCTCATGCCTGTAGTTCCAGCACTTTGGGAGGCCGAGGTGAGAGGACTACCTAAGCCTCGGGGTATGAGACCAGCCTGGGCAACTTGGTGAGACCTTGTCTCTACAAGAAATAAAAAAATTAGCCAGGCATGGTGGCACACACCTGTAGTTCCAGCTACTTGGAAGGCTGAAGCAGAAGGATCGCCTGAGCCCAGCAGGTCAAGGCTGCAGTGGCCGTGAGCGTGCCACTGCCCTCCAGCCGGGGTGACAGAGTGAGTCGCTGACTCAAAAAAAAAAGAGACGTCTATATTTTTTAGACTAGTTTTAGATTTACAAAAAATTGATTGGAAAGTACAGAAAATGCTTCTTTATATGGCTTCTTCCCTGGTACTATTCCCTCAATTAAATTTTATATTGCCGGGCTCGGTGGCTCAGCCTGTAATCCCGCGCCTTTGGGAGGCTGAGGTGAGTGGATTGCCTGAGCCTACGGGTTCAAGACCCGCCTGGGCAGCGAGACCTCATCTCTACAATAAATAAAAAAAAAAATCAGCCGGGTGTGGTAGTGCATGCCTGTAATTGCGGCTACTTGGAAGGCTGAGGCGGAAGGATCACCAGAGCCCAGCAGCTGG